AAAAAATTGGCGACATTTTTCTACCAAATAAAAGCAAAACTTAATATGCTTCGATGGAAAAACAAATTAGCATAAAAAGTTGGATATATATCACCTTTCAATATAATAAACAAATTACCAGGGTTTTCAGCCTTTATAACTCGTTTTATATATGTTGAAGACAAAAAATTAGAAAAGCGTCAGTAACGTATGTTACAAAAACGGGGGTTTAAGCAGGTACATCGTGAAAATGACTTAACTAAACTCGACTTTTGCAATATGGCCAATAAGGTCAGAAATCTCACTAAGTCATAATATAGTGAAATGCCCCATATCTTGTGTCTTTTAAACGTGGGAAGGTGACACCCCCATTTGCACTGTTTTATTGACTTTGAGTGTTGACTGAGAATGGTGTATATGAGTCAGAAAATAGGAGATAATGTTTTGCATGGTTTTTTTTTATTTTCAATTTTTTTTTATTAATTTTACCTACAGGAAAAAAAACAAACAGATCCCATGAAAAAAACATTTTTGTCACCCTGTATTTGTTCACAAGATTATACTGGTTTATAGTGTAATCTAAAATTTATGTCTGTTGAAGCATCATTTACCCAACAGTCAGAACAATGTGAGAAGATATTTTATAATTAATAAATTGAATGGTATAATAAAGTAATAATGGCAGAGTCTGCCTGGAATTGCCTTTAAATTTTAAATATTAAATCAGTATGTCTGCTTACATTGCTTTCAGTTTTATGCTCCATGGTGTGGGCACTGTAAAAAACTAGAGCCTATTTTCACGGAAGTTGGACTGGCGCTCCGCCATACAGGTATCAGGGTGGCTAAACTTGATGGAACGGCTTACTCCTCCGTAATGCATGCTTTTGAAGTACGAGGATTTCCTACTATAAAATTGTAAGTATTTCAATTTTGAAACTTGAAACAATTTAAGAAATTTAAGAAATTTGGACCAACTGCAGCAAGTCATTTATTTACTTTTGCATTAAATGTGCAACATATAGATTTTGTGGTAAAACCAATATAAAATATCTGTAAAATTTATGTTCAGGAAACCTGTTTAGTTAGTAAAGGCAACTGGAGTGGAGAGTATACTAGCATTGTCACTTAATTTTTACTAAATTTGACTCTTTAATAATAACTAACATCTTGATCATAGACCCCAATTTTATTTGAAACTTCTAAATATCTTCTCTTTAATTCTCTATACAGATTACCTGCTTAAAAAAGATTACTCTGAAATGTGACTACATGCATTGCATTGCATTTCAGTATACACATTAGATGGGTCGTTTTTATCTTTTCAGTATTAAAGGAGACAAAAACTACACCTTTACTGGGGACAGGACAAAGGAAGATATTGTCCAGTTTGCTAAGAAGGCAGATGGGTAAGTCGTGTGTAAAATTGGTAAGCCTATTATATACTGACAGTCAATGAAAACACATAATTTATTTGTCAAATAATATTTTAAGTTCCTTTGGAACATTAAGAAAATAACAGTTTTCATGTGAAATGTAACCCATTATTCAGTCAAACAAGGTGACTCTCTTATGACCAAACAGGTGCATAAGGTTGGAATCGATTCTCAGCAAAAACGTACAAGAAAGTTTTCTGATGCGTTTTCATTGACTGTCAGTATATTTACAACAAAACAGAAAATGCATTTAGAGAATGTGCTTATTGTTTTCATTTTTGCATGATATAACTTCTGGAATTTAAGGTAAGAACTTACAGTCAAGCATAATGCACATGGCATATTATTTTTTGTGCATGGTGGGATTATTGTTTTCCAGTTTGGAAAAATTAACCTTGAAATTTCTGATTTTATCCATTACAAATTATATTTCAGTCCTGGTGTCCGCTTCCTGAGTAGTCTTGGAAAGTTCAGAGAGGCGAAAAGTGAGCATAAAGATGAGGACACGGTGTTTTTTGTCTATGTGGGGAACCAGGATCCTCAGGTGTCAGCACTTCTGGTAGGCCACAGCAGTAGTCGAAAGGTTCATTGGTCTGAATGTTTGCTATAGAACCTTCGGACCAATGAACCCTTAATTAAAAAATTGATAAAAATGTTACCACTTTTTGGACCAGTGAACCCTTGATGAAAAAAACTGATAAAAATGTTACCTTCAGATTATCGAGATGCCCCCTAGGTAACAGTGAGATGAAGACACAGTGTTCTTTGTATTTGTGGGGAACCACAATCCTCATTTTTCAGTACTTCTGGTAAGTTATTATGATGAGCTGCATGGGAATTCAGATGAGCAGAAACACTTTCATTATGTACGCAACAACTATGTACACAGACTAAGAATGAAGTCTAGGAGAGAGGTTACAACAACATGCAGTGATTAACAAGAGCTCTTCAGCAGACTTCAACTTTGTTCAGAGTCAAATACCTTGGTCATCCTGTGTCTCTGTTCATTCATATTGAGAAAGGCTCATAAAAGAAGCATTTATTGCCACCTGTCACAGAGTTTGGCTTTTTTATTTATTTATTTATTTTTTTGTATGGGTCAGTTTTAAGTTGACCGTAATGATATTGCTGACTGTTAAATGATATTACTTTGGACATGTGAGATAAATGCAGATAAATTATATTTTCAGAGTGCCTACAAACAAATCGCCCAAGAGAGGAAAGTGCAGACATATTTCTATGCTGGTGAGATACGCATACTACCAGAGGTTAGAGTTTTCTTATTTTCATATATTTATCATATGTATCACTTTTATATATATTCATTTACTTATATATCTCATTTTAATGATATTCAAGATATTCACATCATGTATATGTTTGTTGGTAGCCTGTATTTTGATATGGATACAGTGTGTAGTGTTAATCAGTGATCCTTAAAAGGATTTCATAATAAATAGATTTTCTTGTTTTATTTTGTCCTTAGGAAATTAAAGCTAGTCTCAAAGCAGAATCCACTGTGATTGTATTCAAAGATGATGTTTATGAAGAATATGAAGGTATGTAAAAAAAAATTGGAGTCAGTAGTTTAAAGGAATTGTCACACATCTTTTCTTCAGTAATTGCTGACAAAAGTAAAGCAGTGGTGAGAAGTTAATGTCTTTTTTTAAATTTTATTTTACCTACAGGGTGACCCTCCTAAAGAAAAAACAGAATCCATGAAATTTTTTTTTATCATCCCTGTATTTTGTGCACTAGATTACACTGGTTTGTAGTTCAAAATGGAGAATCTGATATAATTTCATGTCTGTGTTACTTAAGCAAGATAAAAACAG